CCCCCCCGCCGTCTCATCATCCTCGTCGTCGTCTCCTTCCTCCTTCTTGCCGAAGCTCAAAGGAAGCCCAGAAGCGGCCCGTTGCTCTCGCGCATCACCCCACCCGTCCTCCTTCTCCCCGCCCCCGCGCCGCCGACCCGAGCCCTTCTTGTCCTCTTGCCGCCCTTCACCACCGCCCTCGCCGTCCTCCTCCGCGGACGAGATGCTGCCGTCCAGTGCAGAGCTGGGTGGAAATCGACGCGCGTCCTCCCGCGCCTCCTGCCGCCTGGCGGCGTACTGGCGAGCCAGGACGGACACGTCTGACAGACGCGAGTGCGCGATCCCCATCCCGTTCAGCTCCCGCGCCAGGGCGGCCTTCCCCATGCGCGTCCCCCTCGCCACGTCGCGGGCGTACGCGCTACTACTACAACCATCCGATGCAGCCCCCCTGCCTTCTGTGGGTACCGCCGTTGCCGCCGCTGCTTGTGGTTCGTTTCCCGTCGTCGTTGATGCCTTGTTGCTTCGATGCGCGCTCTCTCTCGGCCCGTGCGCGGCGGCACCGCCTAAGTTGCGTCCTGCCGCTTTGGTAGTAGCAGTACTGGCATCATCGTCATCATGGGAAGGGGAAGGGTTGTTGCCGCAACAAGAAACGCGGGCCTCGGCGAGGCGCCTGGCGAGGTCCGCCTTCTCGAACGCATCCCGGTGCTCCACGCCCCGCATCTGCAGCTCGAGCTTGATGTCGATCGTCGGTACCGACATGAGGCGCCGCGTCTCCGTGGCCACATCGGTCGACACCGCCGCCCTACCCGTTGCTGTACCTACACCGCCCGTTTCGTCGCTGTCGAAGTCGCTGTCGGCGCCTGGCGGCTTGTCCCCGGGCTTCCCAACCCCGTCTCCGCCTATGGTGTCGTCGTCGGCCGTTCCCGAGAGGGGTGCTATGGCAGAGGAGGATGCTCGGGGGCTCCGCAGAAGCGGGCGAAGAAGGGGGTCATGCAGGCCCCATAAGCAAGAGCAGCGCGCCCGAGGAGCTGCTGCGGAGCAGCGGGGGCCCGCCGCCGCTTCGTATTTGGTGCGGCCGGGGGACGGGGCTTGTTGGAGCACGAAAGACCCGCAAAGGGGGGCCTGCGAAATGGAACAGCAGGACGGTTGGAGGTTGTTGCAACCGGAAGTTTTAAGTTTTCACATCTGCCCTTCTTGCGCACCAAAAATTTACGCGTGATTTGTACTTGAGTGCCCGCAAACGACTATACTTGAGAACCCAGGAGGGTCTTCATTGAGCATATGGGGGGGTCGCTAACATGTGCCCTGGCCACAATTTCGTTCACGCCGTCGTTGTTTTCATGCACTTGTCGGAACAGCTCCGATACTACTGCTGTATGTACTACCAACCGCAGCAAGCGGCGGCAGCTGTAAACAGCAACTAATTGATGTGTGTGTCCGGAAATGCAGCTTCCGTGGCGTCTTACTGAACAGCGACAGCTTTAACACGTCAGAGTTTGGTTACACCATAGACTGCTGTGTAGTTTAACCAGCTTCATGCAATGGATCGCTGTTGCTGAGGACGGGAAAGGGGTGAACTGCTGTGAAGGAGGTCGGCAAAGGTCGGCGGCCCCGCCGTGCTTGCCGGTAACATGGCCCGGCGCCGCAGCTGGACCCCGCGTCAACTCCAACGAAAACAACCCTAGCTCCCTAGTGTGCCTTATGCTTACATAACATTCATGTGCACAGCAGCACCCTCTTCTCTACGATTCACTCAAGATGCAGCCCCTCTTTTGCAAGGGCGCAGGGGAACCGAGGGCGGTCGCACAATGACTTGCTGTAACTGCGGCTTCGCTTCGAATTTCAAAACATGTCCTTGCTCTTCAAGCACGTCGTAAAACCCACCTGCAGTGTTTCGAGCGCAAGCCAAGCGACCCACACGTTGCGGGATTCCATTCTCCGCCCGCTACGCTCAGGGCGCGTCTAGCATTGATCTCGCCTGGAGCAAGCCGAGATGAGCCAACAGCACAGCCAGCAAGCATGATGAGCGAGGCGCGAGCGGTGGAAAAGGAGGCCCCGTGGAATCAGTAAGCACGTGGTTTGTGAGTGGAATTGGGGTGGGGGTACAAGGTTGGGGTGGGCTCGACGAGGGGCTCCGTCCAGGGCATAGAGCAAGTGCCGAGTTGTGTACATTGTACTGCTGTAGGGTAGGGGCGTGCGTTAGGTGGTAAGTCCGTGTGTATCCCCATGCATGTTCAACCAAGTTTTGATTGCGACGAGCGCGTACCACGAAGTTGTTCGAGTGGGTAGTTTTGCCCTATCTCTCTCTCTCTCGTTTCCTACGCATCAACCGCCGTATCTGCGGCGCGTCAACCCACCACCTCGCCGTCGAAGTTTCTGCACTACCCGTGCCGCAGCTGCGATGGACATGCGAGGAGATTGCAAGGTGTGCGCAGCAAGGTAGAGGCAGATTTCATGGCTATGCTTGTGCCGCGATTTTGTAATCTCCCCCTCCTTCTCTCACTCTCTCTCTCTTTCTCCCTCGGCAGCAACAGAAGTATAGTCTACTGCTAACCGCTACAGACAGAACGCAGACACCGAGATCTGTAAGTTCTGACTTCTGTGAACTGTCCTGTGTGAGGTTGAGAGGGTAACATGAACGCTGCTGCGGACGTAGGCAGCTCCTCAACCCCGCCAAACTCAAACACGGGTGAGGGGGTTGATACAGTGGTGGGTGAAGGTGGCGAGGGCGAGACAAACGAAGGCACCCCCGAGAGCAACCAGCAGCTAGGCTCGAACAGCAGCACCGAGGGCGTGCCGATACTCGGCGTGAAACTCGTCTACCACAAGAACGGGGAGGTAGTGGAGGTGGATGCCGACATCGCTGCTGCTGTTAATAACTTCCAAGCGCCCCCGGGTTATGTAAGGAAGGGCGCCCGCGTCGACTCTTACATGTACTCGCTCGGAGTGTACGTGGAGGAGAGCGAAGGCACGAACCACAGGTACTACTGCCTGGCAAGCGCACATTGCCGCAGTACGAAGAAGGTGGTTCCGTGCTCCAGAGGAGACCGCAGTAACGTCAACACACACCTCAAGAAAAAGCACGGCATTGTTGTTGTCACATTGCCGCAGTACGAAGAAGGTGGTTCCGTGCTCCAGAGGAGACCGCAGTAACGTCAACACACACCTCAAGAAAAAGCACGGCATTGTTGTTGTCACATTGCCGCAGTACGAAGAAGGTGGTTCCGTGCTCCAGAGGAGACCGCAGTAACGTCAACACACACCTCAAGAAAAAGCACGGCATTGTTGTTGTCACATTGCCGCAGTACGAAGAAGGTGGTTCCGTGCTCCAGAGGAGACCGCAGTAACGTCAACACACACCTCAAGAAAAAGCACGGCATTGTTGTAAACTGCGGCAGTGTGCCCTTGCCAGGCAGTAGTACCTGTGGTTCGTGCGGCATGCCGGGGACCGGAGGAGCAAAGAAGGCAGCCAACAAAAGGCAGACCCCTCGTACCCTACAGTACATAAGTTCTGTGACACCCTCGTACCCTACAGAGATTTCACAGAAGTTCTGTGACACCCCTCGTACCCTACAGAGATTTCACAGAAGTTCTGTGACACCCCTCGTACCCTACAGAGATTTTACAGAAGTTTTGTGACACCCCTCGTACGTACCCTGCAGAGATTTTACAGAAGTTCTGTGACACCCCTCGTACCCTACAGAGATTTCACAGAAGTTCTGTGACATCCTTGTACCCTGCAGAGATTTACCATACCCTACAGTTCCGACCTGTGCAAAGCTCGTTGTTAGTAAACTTCATCGACTTCTNACAGAAGTTCTGTGACACCCCTCGTACCCTACAGAGATTTTACAGAAGTTTTGTGACACCCCTCGTACGTACCCTGCAGAGATTTTACAGAAGTTCTGTGACACCCCTCGTACCCTACAGAGATTTCACAGAAGTTCTGTGACATCCTTGTACCCTGCAGAGATTTACCATACCCTACAGTTCCGACCTGTGCAAAGCTCGTTGTTAGTAAACTTCATCGACTTCTTTAGTCGCGAGGGAAGGGATTGCTGTACCCTTCTCGCGATAAAAATATCTCAGGCAGGGACCGCAGGAGGGGGTCCACCCCCCCCCTCCCATGTGACCCCGGTTGGGTCGTCTAGCTGGTAGAAGTGGAGGATAGGGGCCAGAGGGGCAGACGACAGAGTCCAATAATGGGAGATATAAAAACAAATAACAACAGCGACTTTGCTGCCCGCTCGAAATACATACCAGGTAGTACCACAGCGCAGTAGTACTCCGAGAGGGGTTGCGTTGAAAGTCGTTGCAGTATATAGTACAACACCTTTCCGGATACTGTACTGCGCTTATTTTGAGTCTCACAGGATCTACTAGCCCTAAACAGACGTGTCAATCCAAAAAGGCAAGTTCCGAACAATGTAAGTAAGCTGCAACGTTAGCGTTAGACGCCATCCTGCCCATACCCGCCGCCCCCCCCCCCCATGCACGACTATGAGACCCCCCCCCGGACCCATTGTACGCACGGACATATGCGCTTGCACGCCCAAACTAGCATGGGGACGGGACCGAAGAACAACCGCGAGCGGGCGGGGGACGGCTTCAGGGCGGCGTTCGGAGCCAGAACGTACTCCAGCGGGAGGTCAGCGCCGCGGTGGACGGGCTCAACTGGCCCCCACTAGCCCCAAGAGGGTGGGCGCCGCTGCGAGCGCTTGCCGCTTTCCCGTCGCCAGCAGGGGGCGATGCCGGTGGGGGTGGGGGGAGTGGCGGCGGCGGCGAGAGAGGGAAGACGCTCAAGATCTTGACGTGGAACGTGCTCTGCGACGGTCTGAGCGGCGCGCACCCCGAGAGGGGGGGGTTCGTCTACGCGCCCGAGGGTAGCCTTGACTGGGAAAAGAGGAGGTGCGGAGGCAGATGGTCTGGTTGTTGTATGTTGTGGGGGCGGGCGGGCGCCGACCGTATCCGGCCCTGTTTTTTCTCAAGAGCATCAAGATGCGCGCGCCGTGAACATTTTTTTGAAATGATGAATACAACGAAAGAGTTCGAGGCATAGCCGCAGCTGTTGCGTTTTCTTTTGTGCTGTCGATGCGTCGGCTGTGTGTTTTATTGTCGTTCTGCACCGGACAGAGAGAGAAAGAGAGAGGGACCAAGTGCGCCGAAGCCGATGCCGTCTCTCCACCCCATCCCGCTCCGTTGCATCTCGCGCATCTCACGCCCCCCCCCCCCTTCCCTCCTTCCTAGCCTTGCCTGTCGATTCTTCTTGGCGACTCGAACCGTCATTCTCTGGCACAGTATCTGTTCAACGACGGGTTCCCGACGGTGTTGTTCATATTTTTCTCTTTTTGCGGCGTTGTTTCCGTGGCATCACGCATGGCTCTCAGCATTCGTCTACTGTACAACCTCCAACAGGTGGCCCCTGACTTACCGCCTGGCGCTAGTATACCGTGCTGGTCGTAGCATTGTTGGTGGTGGTGTTGGTTCTTGTTCTTGTTCTTGTTGTATTGTCTTTTTGTATTGATCTTGTTCTTGTTCTTGGCGACCGCAATTTGCGAAAAACATCAAACCACGCGGTGCGACGACGATGATGCGGCGTGCGTGCATGCGCTCTTGCAGGTGGAGGCTCCTGGAGGAGATCCTTCGGTGGGACTGCGACGTCCTGGTCCTGCAGGAAGTAGACCACCACCACGACTGGCTCTCCCCCATGCTGGCCAAGCAGGGCTACCGGTCCCTCTTCGTCAAGAAGCCCCTCGCGCCGGGAATGGCGTTCAACCCCCACCTCGAGGACGGCTGCTCGCTCTTCTACAGGGCAACCGCAGCCACCACCACCGCCGGCGACAATGCTGCTGATAGTGTTCCGGGGAAACGAGGCGCCGAGATCACGACAAAGCTTGATCTGCTGGACGCACACTCGTTTTCCTTGGCCGTAGTGGAAACAGAGGACGACACCGCCGGTGACAACAGCGGCGGCGACGGTGGCGGCGGCGGCGGTGAGGGCGGCCGAACGGACAAGGCGGATCCGCCTGCGGAACCTGTCGTCGGGAACCAGGTGGCGTTGATCTCGTTGCTCGGAGTCTCCTCACCCGGTCGTGGTGGGGAGGGGCGAGGGGAAGACGAAGCGCTTGTTATCGTGACGACGACTCATCTGAAGGCCAAGAAGGACGGGCACGGGGAGCTGATCAGGTCGCGGCAGGTGGG